TCATAAAGTCATCTGGACCCGGAGTTTTCGTTGTAGAAAGATTTCTGATAATAAATTTCTTTGCTATCGGGTTACTCAGATTTTCTAGTTCATCTTGTTTCATTTTGTTCTTCTATTTCAACTTGTTTTAGCAAGCTCTGTTTTTAAAGAAATTTGTTGATTTCTTCTAATTTATTGGTTTCAAGTTGCTCATAATATTTCTTTATTGTTCTTTCAAATGTTTGTAAGACCTATAAAAATGTCCCCTATTTTATTCCTGGTAGAGATAATTTGTGCTTTATTTTTTTTTTCTTACAGTTTTGCTAGGGGTTTAACTTTATTAATCATCTCAAAGAACCAACTTTTGGCTTTATTAACTTTATTATAGTTTATCTGTTTTCAATATCATTGATTTTTTTTTTTTGCTTTTACTTTTAATGTTTCCTTTATTACTTTAGATTTAATTTGCTCATTTTTTTCTCTAGCTTCTTTCTTTAAAATATGTAAATATTTAAAGCTATATGATTTAGGAAGCAAGTAAAATTCTACCAATTTAAAGCTTTTTGTTACTTTATTTCTCTGGGCTACTCAACCTTGAAATAAATTTCTAATTCTTCTTTTAGGAAAACTTTCTAGGAGAATCAGTAAATATTACCCATGGGGGGAGTATGTGTACGAAATCTAAAGAATGATTATAAGGATATAAAAAGTCTAACATTCCTGTTACATAGCTCTTTAGTTTTCATTCCTTTCCAAGCTGGGTACCTGTGTTTACTCTAAAGATGCTTGAATTTTAAGTACCCTCAGTTTCTTTCTGAATGCTATGTTGTAATCATCAGTAACTCATTTATCTATACTCAAGTTTTTGGATATAAATGAAGGTTAAACATAACTTCAGTTAATTTTAATGCTTTAACTATATCATAACAAATACACCACTAATATACTGTCAAGCTGAAATCTTCCTTCATTACTAAATATTTGCACTAATTATGAGTCATTTTTCTTTAGTTATTGCTTATATTTTCTTTTTATCTTTGGAGAACTCCTCTACCTTTTTAATAATTCATTTTGATTTCTGATTTTTAAATACTGAAAAGAGTTATTGA